TCTCGCAGTGTCTTTGTGCAGTAGGGAAGTATTGCAAACTCTGGGCCAGGTATTTTGGATGAATAGTCTGTTCTCAATTTCCATCTGAAAACAAAAGGGTTGTGAATTCATCCTGAATTTAGTTTAAAGTTTTTCCAAAAATAACAGTAAGAGAAGTTATTTGGACTTTTTAATAGCTAAACTTACATCTTTATTTTAAAAACATCAAATACTGATTTGTTGATACTTTTATTAGTTAGAGCCAGCCCATTGTAGAATGAAATCCAGTATTTCAAGTAAAATGAAAGTAGAATGTTGTTCTGCTTGTAATGTTTCTTGCATTCATTTTACACCCTAGCCGGGAATATTATGTATGTACTCATGCAAGGCTATTTTTTACTTTCTTTATTTTTACTATGAAATTCATTCTTCAACATGAGAAAAAAACAGAATGCAAAAAAAATAAAAAAGGCAAAGCAAACCAAAACCAGCACAAAACAAAACAAACTAACATAAAATAAAACAGAAAAAAAAAGCAAACAAAAACCCAAAACCCCAACCCCCTAACATACAATAATAAAATGAAAGGTTTATACAGCCTGAATTAATATTTCTATTTTATTAAAGGGAAAACTGAGGAATAAGTTTTGTATGTTGTGTCCTAACCTGAGCTCTCTGTATAGGATCAGGACTCTTGCCAAAGGTGTGGCTGAGGTCAGGCTTTTGTGTTCCCTGCAGTGCCCGTATGCTGTGTGGGAGGTTTAAGTTAGGCCTGGCTCTCTGGTCCCAGTTTACATTTAAATGTCCCCATTTCCATGTGGGAATTGACTTTGCTTTCACTGCTCTCCTAATGGATATTTTGATGTAAATTAATGAACATCAGTACTAATGGCACGTGCTAGAATTGGCATGGTACCTTACATGGCTTTGGGGAGATAGAAAGTATTTCATAGGACTGACATATCCCTCTTTCCCAGATCTGTAACAGTGCCCAGTAGATGATATTTATAGAAAGAAATGGGATAAATATGGGGTGATCTTTGTAACACACTTCCTATGTTCCAGGTGCAGATCCCATAGTAGCCATTATCCATAATAGGCATAGTTACCACTATGAAGTTGTTTATCTATTTTGAAGTTATTAATAGTTTTTGACCCCTAGAATCTTATAGCACCAGGTTCCACAACCAGGCATTTCTTGAAAAAATATTTATTCTGTTCATTTTAAAGCTGGTTCCTTACCATTTTATTAAGAGTCAGTTTGTTCCTGTGTATTGTTCCCTCATCATCTTTTCCATACCATTTGTGGAGACCTCTGTCTAACTTCCTTTATTTGTGTTGAGATAGTTTAATTACTGTGTCCTTGCAGTGAAGTTTTATTTGTCTTTTTGTCTTCTGAGTCTCCTCTATTGTACTCTTAAACCATGATAACTTTTTTTTTTTTGGGAGAAGGGTTAGAGCTCTATAGTAGCTTTTCCTTGCTCTGGACACTTACTCAACAGGCTGTTTAAAATAATACATTATTTCCTTGAAAGGATTTTACCCTTTCAGTGCCTTCTTTATTTCCTTTTAGTAAGAGTAATTTATATGCTTTTTTTTGTTTGTTTCTTAGACTGTATCAGTATTCTGACAGCATTTCATAACTTTTTTCTACTCTATATTCTAACACCCAGTTACATAACAGCTCTGTGGCAAACACACTATTTATAAATCATTTAGATCACTTTTTATTTGGTTTTGAACAGTGTGTAGCCTCTGGGAATAATGAAGGAGCCAGTGCTACGTGACTTGTCAGCCTTATAGGGATCTTCTGGTGTTTCTGTCTAGTCTGTTTATAATTTATGGGCCTACCAATGAAAAATACTAATCTAACATATATGGGGGTTTATGCTTCACAGTCTTAATGTATTTCAGGAGGGCTGTTTTATCCTCTTGGTTTAGCTGCTGCCCAGAATATTTTGTGCTGGTTAGCAAGGCCATCAAAGAGCTGAGGTAGAGTGCAGATTATTCATGTCTGGTCTGAAAATAATTTTCAAGAGGTCTAATTAGATAGGGGCTCATTTTCCCCTGCATTTCCATGTCATTTCCCAGAGTATTTCTAAGGCATGATTGGGGTTGTTAGCACTTCACCATATGTAAAAATGCAAAACAAACTACCTACATAGCTAGGCCCAGCTCTGTGATCCAAAACATCCATTCTGATGCTGAACACATTGTATGAATTCTAATTGCAAGTACATATGAGATTAAATAAATACCATGTAGAAGTTCTGTCTGCACAGAGAACAGTGCCAAGAGCTTTCTTTGATTTCATTGGGAGTAGAATTCTGTCTCCAGTGTGTTTTTCCTGCTTCTGATTGAGACAATGATATTAAATTAATTTAAACAGAGGGATACTTTGAGACAATAGAATAATAATTTATTTCCACAATTGTCAGTTGTATGGATCATACAGGAGGGAAAGCAGCCAAGATGTGCTGACATATTTCTGACTTCTAAGAAGGGAGCATGCTGTTATTTTTTTTTCTTCAGAACAGACAGTGCAGGCCATGGACTCTGATTTTTCATGTCAAAAAAGGTTTAAGATCCGTATGTTTTAAAAATCCTTTATAGTCATGGAGCTGTTTAAAAGTACACCTCTTATTTATTTTTTACTTACTGTGATCATAGGGTATTTTGTTTAGACTGGGAAATAGCAAATATATTTTCTCAATTCAACACATTTTTAGTGAAAACATTTAAATTAGGTTTTGAGTTCCCTTTATACTGCTGCAATGGGTATCTTATTGTAAATAAAAATGAGACCAAAAAAAGCCTTTGGGAACTAAGACTTTTAGGCATTTTTATCATATATTTATTCTCACCATACTTCTGACTTCTCACCATTCCCTTCAGTGCCTTTCTCTTTTTGAAGCAAATACAAGTCTTGTGATTTAATGCACATGATGTTGAATGCACATTTCCTGAAATATTTATAAACTTGTGCTTGCTTCTGTTTGTGTAAATCTGTTACTTGTGTATTTTCCCATTCAATCTGTCCTTGCAGCTGTATTTGTTACAGCTAAAAGAAGCCTTTAGGAGCCCCCCTGCAGCTTTCCTTTAGTTATAGGATATACTTCAAGTGCAATATAACAGTCTAAAAAAATAAATGCAAGCCCTAAAACCCAGCGAAGGTAACAGCGGACTTCTGAACTCCCAGTCTTACCAAGAGATGTTCCTTTGCGGCAAACAAGTTGGATTTTGGCAGAGGGGTTTGTTTATTGCAGTGGGACTTGCACAATGAGGCTCCACGCAGGCTGATGCAGCCAGGGAACATTCCTGGACACTGGCACTGGCTCCCGCGTGCTGTTGAATGCTTAGCACGTTGCACAGTTAACACTCTCCCAAACCCTTCCCAGCGCAGCTCAGGAGTTCAGAGGTGTCTGTTCCCAGCAGGTGCTTTGGCCGAGCCCCTCGGGGCGGGGAGGTTGAACCGTGTGGCTGCGGACTCCTCCCAGCCAGCGGGGCTTCCACGGAGCCCATGGCCCCTGCGATGGGCTGCTGTGCTTGTGGCTCTCTGCTGCCAGAGCTGGGCACAGGAGGCACAGGGCTCCTGCTCTGCAGCTACTGACTGAGCTGAGAGGGGAATCAGAGCTCTCGGTTTTGCCTGGACACAGCTTCTCTGAGAAGTGTCGGACAGAACGTAAGGACTGCCGGTGCTTTCAGTTGTTCAGACCATCAGCTGAAAGTGTCCGCAGCAGGCTCAGCACCTCTCAGACATCTGAAGCCTCCTGAGCCCGTTCTGCTCCACTGGATCCACGGATTGCCATTATGCGTGCTGTGTAAGAAGCAAGGTGGCACACTCTGCATGTACAGGTTGTTTTTACAGAGAATGCAGTAAAAATGATGTATCCCCTCTTCACAGTTCTCACTGTGTGTGTGCTATGAACCAGTTTTCTCATATTTGTCTTCATTTTATGAATGCTCATAAAATGCTAATTCCTCCAGAACTTGTTTGCATTACACCTCACCATAGTTTTTTTTATTTAGTCTTGCATCTTTAACTTTGAAGAATTTGTATTTTTGTCATTGTCCATTTAATGGTTGTACAATAAGCACAGTTAAGATCCCCAAACTAATCCCTTGCTAGGAACTTGTTCTCAGTCAATGAGGTGGAATTTTTTAAAAATTTATTTCTTTATTTCCTAAATTTGTTCAGCACCTGTACATTTATTTGTGACAATTGTGTGACAGAGTAAATGTAAGGAAATGGATGGCAAAATTTTCTTTGCCTGCTACCTGCTTTGAAATGACATTTGCAAAACACGTCTACTGATATTTATAAAATATCAGAGCCTGTCAGTATATCAAGAGCAAGGACTCTCTCATGCTTTTAAGTCCCAGTATAGATGTAGAGGGAAAGGTCTATGAAGCTTCCTTCTAGTAAGAAAAACATCTGTGGTAACAGAGCTTGGTAATACTATTTTTGTGTGTTTGACATAACCAGTCATTGCTGGGCCTTTTTAGTTGTGAATAATACAAACATTCTAGACATCCAGGAAATAGCTCTGTACTGTTTCATCCCACTACGTAATCCTTGTCATTGCCAAATTTACTGAGTTTTCTGTAAACAAATCCAGGTGACACAGGCACTGATGTGCATCATGACTGCTGAGGAAGAGTCAGAAAGGAGGAAAATGGTCTGAACCTGCTGTCACTGAAGTAATAGCACAATTCTTACCTTGGGCCAAAGGCAGGTTTTGGGAAGGTTGAATTGTTAGAGTTTATCTACAGCAAGCGGGACTTGGGGTGCATTGAGTGCAGAGTTTGCTTGGCTGTTTTCCCTAAATTACTGTACATTTCAAATCCCTTGAGAGTAGTGTCACTTCTTTTTTTGTGATACACCTGCTCTTAAATGACATACAAATGTTTCAGAAAGTAAAAGAAGAACATGTAAACACAAATAGAAAACATCACTGTCATATTTTCCAAGTTACTTTATTTAGCTCATGTTTACAGATGAAACCGGGTGCCAGAAAGGAGCCGCTGCATCCCGCATTATTAATTATACTCCAGCTTCCAAGGAAAAATTTTGTCAGTAGCCTTTAGTAATATTTGGACCAAAAATACATGGATGTGCAGCTTTGAGCATTTTGTACCATGTAGGGTGCAGCCTCTCTCACAGGTCCTCTGTTTCTGGAACGGGGTTGGATTCTGCAGGCTGAATGAACACGACTGGGATATTCTCCGATGTCCATCCTTTGGGAGTCCTGTTGAAGGATCTTCTGGCAGCAAGAGGGTTTGCAAGGATCATGAATCTGGGATCGTTTAGCATCAGCATATTATAATCTGGTACCTTGAATTTAACCAGCTTTGATGCTCTCTCAAAACCACCAAAGGGAGTGGCAACTCTGTAGATATCAAAGAAATAAAAGTTAAATGTGATTTTAAAAATACTTGTTTTCTTTCCCTCCCAGAAGCTGAAAAGAACAAATTTTTGTTCCAGTTTCTTGTTTACATTCTCAAGCTTTGGAAAAAAAAAAAACCATTCTGTTTGTTTTTCTGGAAAATTCTCTTTAAGATCTGATTAATTTCCCCTTAGATAGAGCTTGCAGCCTTTTCAAAAATTCAAACGGATGGAAAAGCCAAGAGAAAAAGACGTTACAAGAAAACCAAGTATTTGGTGAGTCACAGTTACTAAACTTATTTTGTTGGTGATAAGTTGATAAGTCTGAAACTGTAGCTCAACACATTCTCTCTAGCAAGTAATTAGTTCAGAAACTTCTCACCCCATTTTCTCCTCTCCTCAGCTGCTTGTTCCTCCCACTACACTGTGTTTCAGCACCATAGTGTTGTACCAGTTAGAATGTATGTGGGTTGTGCTGTAAACTTGGGTCACTTCTGTCATCTGGGTTAAACAAATACCCTTCAAAACAGAGGAGCACTTCAAAATCCAAATTATTTCAGCAATCTAGTTTATATCAGTATGCTCGAACAATTGTAGCAATACAAGTGAAGAGGAGTGGAGCTTAATGAGTGAAGCAGAAAGGAACAGCCAAAGACAACAGGCTCTGGAAAGGTGGGGATGGGTGAGGACTTGATACACCAGCTTTGTTTCTGAAGAAAATGTTTATGTAACTAAACATTGAAACACTGTTCAACCAGTATTTTTCATGTTATTTGAATGTAGATTTCCCCCCAGGCAGTAAGCCTGAGAAACTGGAATATAAGGAATACTAAACTGGAGTTGACTGTTACATGCATTTGCAAATACTTTATAACAACAGTATTTCCAAATACCTCCCCTGATCTTCTGTATATACAGGTTTCAGACTGAAAAAAACCCCTTGAGTTTTCCTGTCACTTCTTCCAGCCTCCTTTGGACAAACAAACAGACTATGGTATGTGCTCTGCATTTTGATCAGCTGCACAGCTTTGCTGGGATATATTCTAGCCAGTGAAGAGTGTCAGATTTTTAAATTGCACAGGAGAACCTGGTTTCTGCAAAAACCAAACATGTTATAGCATGCTTATGGGAAAATGAATTTTTGTTGAAATGGAATTTCACCAGCCTTAGTATATTTGGTGTGTGGTACAGAACAGCAGATCTGACGGAATATACTTCCAGTGGCTCTAGGTATTTTAGCAGAAGCCCAGAGAAATTAATACCAACAGAAACTAAAATAGATCATTTGAAGATCTGTTCAAGATTTTCAGCAGGATAAACCCCCTAAGTTTTGTACTAAGAATGAAGTACGTGCACAAAAGAAGAGATTAGTTCAGAAAAATGAATTTGTGACATGAAAGAAATGGTACTGCTCTCTCATTACATGGATGATTCACTGCATTTTGGTACGAGCAGCATTTGTTGAAGGGGATGGTGTTAACTCCAAAGCATCAATCCTGGGAGATATAAAAAATCATGCAAGCTCTGGGCATGCATCCTCACTGAGAGAAGAACACTGCTTTAGATTAAGCTCTAAAAATGTGTCTCAAATGATGATAAGACAAGATGTTGCAGCAGCAGCAGCCAGTCCAGGCATTAAACTCTTTTGAGGTCAAAGGAAATTGTTTATCCAAAGTTGATATCGAGCCTCTGGTATCAAGTTTTTCTTGTGGAGCTGTCTTCTAGGTCACAGTGTCAACCTGGATCCTGTGTGATACCGATTGAAATAATTGCTTGGTAATTGGCACAGAGTGAATGTAGGGATCTACATCTCACCGGATAATAAATATTGCTGTAATTGCTGCCCTAATTATGATACACATTCTCACATTGTTGTGATGGTTAATTATCACTGATGTGTATATTAAAAGGGTAATCAAAATAAACAGAATTGTAATAGTTTTATAATTTGCAAAATAATTCTGTTGTTTAAAACATCCTCTTTGTAGTATTTATGGGTTTTATATAGAGCATATTCCTGTATGTAACAGAAACAGGAGGGCTTTCCTTGGAAATTCAAGTATCTTTTGTGGCAAAATACCCCCCCCCCCCTCCCCCCCATAGCTGCTATACAAAGTCTGGCCTCAGAGAATTTTGCATTCCTGCCTTATAGGCAGGGGCACATGACAATTGACAGAAAGGAGAGTACAGTAATTGGCTAAGAGATGTTGATTTTCCTTTACAACAGCAGTAAATATGGTCTTGTGAGCAATAACTTGTCTGACAACCTGGTGTTGTAATGACCTCTGTTGTGTGCACATCAGCTGTGCTACTTGAGCTCTGATTCATTGTATAGAAGCCTAAATCTCATGCCTAAAAAATTCCAGTAGTCATTGCTCATAAGGGCGGAAATGCTGGTTCAGAGCCATAGGAAATAGTGCCAGGAAGTGTAACAGATTGTTTAATATTCACTTTGCATATTCCTAAAAAGTAGGTGCTTGATTTAAGAATAGCAGATACAATCATGTTTGTTTTACCTGTCATTTTAACAGGAATTCTTTTTCATTTTTTACCCTTAGTCTTTCATATTGAATATTATATTGTCTCAACATAGGAGACTGCTTGCAGCTAATGATTTGGGAAAGTCTGAAGAAATGTTTTAACTGCATTAGATTAGCACCTCTGGTTACATTATCACAAAAAAAATGAGTTTCACATTTTAAAATGGGATCATCATTCATAGAACATTTTGTTTATCATTAATTCTGCAAAAAAAATGAGATGTAGGAGGAAAGAATCTGACCCTGCAAAGTGCTCAGAGCTTCATGGGATCTTAGTGCAAGAGCTAATGCTAATTTCACAGAGGTATTTGGGTGCTAAGGAACTGGCTAAGCACCCAGCTCCCACTAATATCACATCCCTTGAATTCCTGGGAGACTCTGGATCTTAGTATTTTATAATGGACTTCAAGATCCACGAATCAATGAAAACAGATCCCAGTCTGGATGGACTGAATTCCTGTAGTGCTTTTGAAAGAGTAGTCTTTGGGAATTGAGAAAGCTGAGTAGAATTTGTCTGGTAGGAGAGGCATAACTAGTCTGACTTGCTTGTCCTATGTGAGTAAGATGTGGTGCTTTGGATGTTACTCATAATCCTACCTTTGACATTTTATCCAGCTCCAAGAAAGCAGATGGAATAAAGGTACTAATTTAAGTAATATTATAAACTCCTTAGCAAATGCAGATTCATGCTGCTTTCCCACAGATTCATTACTTGGTGCTTCCGTACTGGTAAAAGAGACAAGAAATTTTTTCACTAGCAAATGCTTCCTCAATCCTAATAGGAGTGAATCTCCAAGAGAAGCCAGATGGCATGGTCTGTTCTGCTGCTTTTCTCTGCTAGCACAGATTGGTTTTATCTCTGAGGGGGACAAAGAGTAGCCTGGTGTGCACAGTGTGTTCAGAGCCCCTCTGAGCCCCACTCCCCTCTGCCCAGTGCTGTGCTGTCAGAGCACCTCTGCCAGTCTCACAGACAGCCCTGCCTCCCAGCACAATCCCTCCTGACGTTCCCTGCCACAGCTCTTCCTCTAGTGATCTGCCAGCACTGCAAGGTCCCTGCAGCTTAAAATGAATCCTAGACTCCAAAAAATACCTCTACGAATTCCTTATGTGTTTTTAAAAATTCCTTAGTGTTATAAAAATTGCACTGCTGCAGGGTCCACAGTCACCTCTTCACTGCTGGACAGTGGGGAAAAAAATCTGGATGCTGTTTAGTGCTGAAGTGCTTTTATCTGTGAATGTGTGCCTCAGTTCCAACACATCAGACCTCCCCACCTGCTCAGGTTGTGCTGCTTTTCCAGTTTGTTGTGTAACAAGGAAAGCTGAAAGGAGCCTGAAATGATTTGTAAAGTCTGAGTGCCACTTGAACAGACGCCGGTGAAAGAACCGGGAGGGATCCCAGGCCCATTTCCCTTGGGAATCCTATGGCTCACACTTGCTGCCAGCCACACCCCCCTGACTAATGGTGACTGTAGCAGGGCTCTGCAGGAGAACAAACACAATGGCGCTTTGCTGGTTGATTAAGCAGGATGGAAAGCCTAGATAGATCCCCTCACTGATAACAAAACGGTGCCATTATATCACACTTTAATTGTTTAATACACTATAATTTGCTTTCTCTCCAAGACTGCAATTAAGCAGGCCAAGGATGCTGTGACCTAGATGCACAGAATGACTTAATAGGATTTAGACACAGAAGTCCAGCTAGTCTTCTTCTGCGGGATAGCATGGCATGGCAGTGTGCTGTTTTAAATCCCATCATCAAACACTCTCCTGTGCAGTTTTAGGAGTGTAGACATCTAAGTCATGGCTGTGAAATCCTCTCCAAGAGATGAGTATCTTGAATTTTAATTTTTCAAATTCTCAAACTTTTTTTGAATCTGCTAGAAAACATAAGTCTGACTGTAGCATGTAACTTTTCTAGGGCTATCAGGCATCCTTTTCTACTGGATATCAGTTTTTTTCCATGGAAAGAAGAGTTGTGGTGGACGATGCTTATATATTTTTTGGTTTAAACTTTACCAGTTTCACAGTCTGGTTCTGGATTATGTGCCAAATTTTAGGGTTTTATGGCAGTTACAAGAGAGGGTATTGACTTTTCCCTTATAAAAATGCACATATGTTCAAGAAATTCAGACTGCTGAGCCTCACTCTGCCGTGTCATACACAGAGAAACTCCACATAGAAAGAAATCCAAATAGTTAGTGTTGTGAAGAGGGCAGCTAACAGAACACAGGGCCACAGAGACAGCCTTAAAATCCACAAAGAAGCCATCAGACACCATCTCAAGACAGATATCCCTGTTAATGGAGTCTCTGTGCCCTGTCTGATGCTGTCCTTCACAATAATGACTAGCACCTCTTGTGAGAGGGAGAACTGATTCTGTCTCCATGCATTTGTATCTTTAGCATTTTTCCTTGGGCTCTTTTTTTTAAATTTTTTTTTTTTTTTTAGGTTACAATAAGCACAGTACATGAACTGTGCTGTTACTGTTCTGATGTTGCAGCTGTGGCACTTCTCTGGCTTGCATTTGCTGTTTTGTCTGCCGAGGAGAGTGTGCCACACAGACTCAGTTATTGACATGGCAATGTATATTGCTGCTAGGAAATCAAAGCTAATGCAGTGTCTGCAGTGCCAATTTTGATGCTGAAATGTGCAATGTTTTAGTCTTTGCACTCCTAGTTGGGGCCCACATCAACAACAGGAACACAAGTGATGTTTGTGGCATATTTCTCAAAGTTTGTATTTGTAGGGGGACAGAATGTAATTAAATAAAGGTAGTATATAGAAAGTAATTATAGAAAGAGTTAATTATTAAGGATTAGGAGCAGGCCTGACTTTAGCAGGCTGCAGTTGTAGCTGATAATAACAGTGCTATAAAAGAGTGGGTTGGTTGGCTGAGGGGAACTGGAGTCAGCTGGCTGCTGTGAGAAGGAGGAGTCAGTGCTTAGAGGAGCTGCCTGTGAGAAACGTCAAGGAGGCACAAAACTCTAGCAATGTGGAACCTTTGCAATGTAATGACAACAGAACTCTTGCAATATAATAACAACATGTATTGCTGTGACCAATTTTGTTTTTCGAAAGATTGCTGTCAGGCCTTCTCAGGAGGGGTTTTGGTTTGGCTCAGCTGTCTGAAACTCAGCAGGGTTGTCCATTACTTCAATAAATAAAAGTAGTGTAAATGGAATGAAAGAAAGCAAAAGGCATGAGTAAGAATTTGCTTTCAAGCTTTAAAAAGCCAGTGTTGTCCATATATCCAGTTCTACTGAAAGCCATGATACACTAGTTACTCTGTAAGTAAAACAATGATTAAGCTGTTAGTTTGTTGCTGAAGGTTGTCACATATATAAGAAATGTTATACTGCAATAACAGAGAAATCTTCAAGTTATTTAGTGTGAGGGATTGGTTGTGGGATAAAGTTCATTGCACCATCGTTGCCTAAGATAAAGCCATGTGAGTTGTATTAAAAAAAGAAATAGAAGAAGAGTACTTTGCATTAGACAACTTAGAAACAAAGTTCTGACTGAGACATCTGACAATACTATGCTTACTGAAGTCAACAACAGGCACCCTGAAAGGAATTTGAAGCTCATATTTCCCATTTATTGAGTACACTGAATCACAGAATCATAGAGTGGTTTGGGTTGGAAGGGCCCTTAAAGATGATTTAGTTCCAACCCACCTGTCATGGGCAGGGGGACCTTTCCCTAGACCAGGTTGCTGAGAGCTCCATGCAGCCTGGCCTTGAACACCTCCAGCAATGGGCATCCCCAGCTTCTCTGGGCACTGGATTCTGATACTTTCTTTCTTTCAATATTTTTAGCAATTTATCTTCTGTTCCTAGTTCTAGAGTTTGAATTTGGGCCCATACTTTAGAGATAGACTAATTTGCTCCTTAATGCTCTTGTTTACCACTTGCAATCTCTGTGTGTGTTCATGTTCATGCATACACTTGCAAACATGGCTGGTAGGGTTTTTAAAGCTGGTGAAAATATTTTATTTCATAGTAATTTTCCTCTGGTCAGTAAAATTCCATGTTCATTTAGGATTACCTGTTAAAGCTCCTGTAGTCAGGCAGTTCTGGCTTTGCTTCAGGTGCAAAAAGTTTAGGATATAAAGCTTCCAGTAGTTCTGGATCATCTCTAATGGCTTCTATCCAGGGAGACTGGTAATACTTTGGCACAGCTGTAGTGTTGAACTTTTCAGGAGGAATTTCTTTCAGTGGTCCAGAATATCCTGCAATGTGGTCAAGGTAAAATGATTATAATGATTCTTTGTGTTTTCTGCTTTCTTGCACCATCCTGTGCAAGCAGGAACTAACACAGCAGAACTTCTCAGTGAGTTAAAATGAACAGTTGGGCCAAGTCACCAGGCTGGAGCCACACAGAAATAGAGACCAGGCAGGGCAAATTTGTAGCTTTTTAGACAGATAATTCCTCCAAAGTATTCCAACTTCTTTTGAGGCTGAGTTTATTTTGGTCTTTTTTATAAATTTGCTTCTATTGTAAGCATTTGTTTGAAACCGGAGAGTCCTTAGGCTAAATTAACAAAAAGATTTTAAAAGCAGACTGTTGATTAGAAGTAAGATAATTCTACCTCTTTGAGTGAAATTTTCCACAAGTACATCTACATCTAGGTCTCTAAATGAATGCTGTTTCATTCTATAAGCTTAAACCTCCCCATGGCTTAATACCTACTCTGACCAGACCTTTTTTGCCTAAAGAAAGGCTTGAAGATTTCTATCATGTCTTAGCAATGGAAATTACCTCTGTTTGCATTGTGTTTGGCCAAAGGATGCACAGAGCCTCAGCAGACACCAGCAGAGCAGGACTGACCTAGTTTACATGGACTGGAAAAGGTCTGCACAAAACATGCATTGAGTAATTCTGAACAAAGAATGAATTTGTAAAAACCATGGTCTGCTCATGGATAATTCATAAACAGGAAGAAGGGCTATATCACTGAATAAATTAATTAAAACAAATTAGCCTTCTCTAGTCTTAAAAGAATACAAAATAAGGCCTTCTTGTAACTCACTCCTTTAAATAAAGCCAACAGTACCCTCACAGTTAAGGATTTAAAAAAGAACAGTTTATGCTGCCAGAGGCAAATTCCTTTCAAAGTTACTCCTCTCTAAAGGGTTCCAGCAAAATTTAGTGGCTTCAGATTTACATTTATGGATAATTAAGCTACAATGGATAGCTTGCTGACTGTTGAGCAGGGTGTTGCATGTTGGAAACAATGGTTTGACAAAGGAAAATCAATATATTAATGTGGTTTTAAATCAAAGGATCTCTTTCTCAGTGTTTTTAAGACCTGTACATACAGGAGCAGCCTCTCTTGATATTGTTATGTTTTCAGTTTAGAGAGAAGTAGTACAAAAGGTGTATCAAATCTTTTAAAAATGAACACAAGCAACTAGGAGCATCCCAGCATTTCTGGGAGAAGTTCTGATTAGTTATCTGACTCAAATGTGTGTATTTTAATATTAGTCCATTATCTTCTAATTGAAGGTACTGCCTCAATGGTCATGTCTTTGCTGTGCAGTGGGGCTGAGTGCAGTCGGTGTGTGCAGCGTTACCTGGGGCGATGTTGTCAGGGTGAGGAGGGCTCCGGGGGTCAGGTGTGTTGGGAGGTGTCATTGGGGCGTGCTGGGGCATTCCTTCCACACTGAGGCCGTCCATTCTGACACTCTGCACGGGCTCTCCACGCTGCGTTCAGGCAGGAAGAAATAACACTTCAGGCAGGGCATTCTCTGGGAGGCTGCACCAGTGCTCTGATTTCCAGCCCAGATCTGATTGCCAGCGTGCACAATACTAAAGCACGCTGTGCTGCTGTCTGGTAGGGTATTCCCTTCACACTTACATTGTCCAAGTAACCAAAAATGAGCATTTTTTGGTCACTAGACACTAGAAGCTGTTCTGTGCCAGACAGAGCCCCCATGCAACCCAAAGGGTCAAGAAATTTGGCAAGTTTGAGCCCTTTGATTCTTCAAAGCATCTCTTCCCATATCATTTGAAAATTTGCTGCATTTGTTGCACTGCTTTTGTTTGGGATTGTCTTTTCCTTTATTTGTAGTAGAAATAACAACTTCAGTGCAGGTCACTTTCTGGAGATTCATGATATGCTGTTATTTTCCACCCTCCTATTGGGATATCAGTTCTAAGGAAACATCTGAAGGCTTAATCATTGTTGCATAAATATAGAATTAGAGTCTCATAAGAAGTCAGCATCTTATTTTAACCGTGACACATAGGCTAAAAGCAATTTAAATATAGACTGGTTTAGAGTAAGAATTTCTTGAATAGGAAAGCAAACAAATAATACTTGTTTAAACTTGAAGTAACAACAAAAAAAGATCAAGGCAGAATGTTTTCTAGTCATCCTGAAGTATGTTAAAAAGATTAACTTTGGCAGGCAGAACCCTAAAGATGATGCAGACACCACCAGCGGTGCTAAATAGACACTTAGGGGAGGGAACAGGAGCCAGAGGCATCGTTTTTTCATGTGTTGGAATGTCATACTGACTGTAAACCAATTGTACTCTGTGGTTTTGGGGGAAAAAATGGACTAGAGGGAAAAGGATCTGTCAGACTGTAGCAAAATCATGGAATTGCATACAGCATTCTGACAAGATTGATGGTGTGCTTAGAATTTATCTGTGTAGCTTCTAATACTCAATAGTATTAGATATAGATGGGCTTTTAATGATAGTGTTTAATAGATGGGCTTTTAAATGATAGTGTTTAATAATAGCCTTGGGTGCTCAGTGGAGTTGTTCAGATTTTTTATATGGGATTTCTTTTGTGCCGATTTATTTTAAAAAGGCAGATTAATCAAAGCCCAAACTGGATCTCATTTTATCCCAGTGTAATTTAGCTTCTGTTGAGCAAGTGATCAAAGACATTGGAAATAGCCATACCATATGAAAATAAATTTAAATTTATTTTCATGTCTATAGGATCTCATTTAATAAAATACAGTTGCGGCATTTCTTCTTAGCCTCATTCTAGGATTTTGCTTTTATTTTTCCTGAAACTACAAGTAAATCACACACAATGCATATCATGAGCACCAAAGGAATCTGATGTAGAATCACCAAGAAGCCATTAGAAAATACTCACATTTCTAGGCTTGCTTGCCACGTAATGATAATTTTCATATGTGTACTTGTCAGATCTCCGCTGGCGGCGCTTGAAGAGCCTGGCCCCTCTGTTGCTGAGCGTCGACAGCTCCTCCACCATGATATCTCTGGGCGTGCTGACCTTTTTCCCAAGGTTCAGGGTGGGTGAGACTGCAATGCCATGGGTAAGTACAAACCCCTGTTTGTCTCAAGTGTCTGATATTCCATGCTCTGCACCTGAAATCCAGCAACTTCCTCATGCATATTTAGTTAACACATAGCACAGTGTCACATGGTGTTAGTGAAATTAAGCCTTCTTCCCAAACTTTGGAGGAGATTATTGAACACCACAAACCTGTATTCTAAAAGATGATAAGCATCTCAAGCTCCAAGTTAGATCAGGTCTATAGTGTCCTACACATTATATTAATAGCAGGCTAGCAAAAACAGGCTTCTGCTAAAACTGGGAACAAAATTCCTTCTGATCCCAAGTTCCCACATTAAACCTACAGTTAACTTTCTGTGTCCTGCATTGGATAGATAAGAGATAATCCCCTTTAAACACACCCACCAGTTTCTATTAAATGCTATTTTTAGACTGACTTTCAAAATAAAGCTCAAGGTGTGGAAAATGAGTCCTAACAAAGAATTACAACATACTTCTAGAAATTGATTCATTTAGGACCTTTTGGGTTTTATTCTCTTTAAGGGAAAACTGAAATACTGGATGCATATTTCTTTATTCACTACTTGGGAAAAATTTCTTCTATGTCTTTATTCACATCCTGTGGAATTTGAAAAGGAAGATGCATAAGCAAGGTAAGGGGAGATCAATCAGGACTGTAAACAGAGAATTCTGAATGTCAGAATTCCTATGGTCATGTTCATGATGGTGCTCTGGAAGCTGGGACGCCGGTGGCACTGAGCAAGCTATTGCTTAGTGACTGAACTCTCACTGAATGTCCTCAACCTAGAGACAAAACTTCAGCATTAGAACACAGAAACCTAAATGCTGAATAAACTATTTTCTATTTATTAATTTTTGCTTAGAGCATTGCAGAATTTAAGAAATATAACAATAATGGCATTCTATGTTTCACATATTCTTATGGTCTTCAGGATTTAAAATTCTGAACTTTGACATGTATTTTAATGCATTAAAATGAAATGAGGACGCGTTATACATAATACGTATCCTGTTAGCAGAGTAAGCAGACAGGAGGGTGAGTTTGAAATTAACATTACAAATTAATTAGCTGCAGAAGGTGCCTAATGCCAAAGTCAATATTGCATATGAAGGGTTTTGTTTTTAGTAAATGGCATGTTCAGCCTGGCATGTGTCTCCTAGTAACTTTATGTTGGAAAAACAATGTGATGTGCTGACATTTAGGAAAACTTAATGGAGACAGATATATTAAATATTTAGCTGAAGCTGGATGGACGAGTTTTCCACATAGTAAATCAAACAAGTAGATGGGCCCTGGAGTGCACCCCTGTTGATCCATTTCTGTCCATACCAATTTCAACTGAATGCTTGCAGTGGATTTCAGTGGAACGAGAGCAAGTTAAGTGGATCATGAGCTGGACTGTGCACTTCTGCTTTAAAATAGTGTGTGCAAAGAATCCTAACAACCTCCTGTTGTTTAAGAGCTAGTTACAAAACAGAGTGTTCTTAACATGGGAGAAAATGACTCAGCTTGCCCAGTGTATCCCTATCAGTGGCTGATAGTGGTGGGATTTTGGCTCTGACATGGAGATAACTGTACTGGTTATTGGCTCATGGCCTGAAATTTAGACCTTAAGTCATATTTTGATTTTATCGTTTCTCAAAATGACTGCAGGGGTAGAGACTGCTGGATGGTTTTATATTAGCAAGAAGAAAGAAATTGACCCCACAATTCAGCAACACTTTGACATAGAAAAGCTTTTGTTTGTACACAGAATGGGGAGCTTGAACATCCTCAGAGACCAGGGAGCCAAGGCAGCTGCAGAGCTCTGTCCAAAGCACTTGGGATTCTTCTGGGACACTCTGGGTGTTATCTATTTTGGGCCTTGCTGTTCCCTTACATACACACTGTTCTTGTTAATGTTAACTGAAGGCTCCAAGCTACTTTGTAACCCACAGTTGTGTACTCTTGTGTATCCAGGCAGCATCCCAAAATCATAAGTGTAAAGTTCATTTGAATTCCTGGCCAACTAAAATCTAATCATCTGTCTAGCTTTATGATGTGTCTAGGGATAGTTTCAGTGTCAGTGCAGATAAGGTGATAGAGAATGAGAGAAGGAGGACATTTAGGGGGTGATGGAAAGAGAACATTAATGTCTTAGATGGACATTGAAAAATAATATTGAAAGTTTAATTCATAGTTTAATCTTAATCTTAACCTTTTAGCTTCATTTCTTTAATTTGCTCCTGCCAAGTCCTTCTCGTCCTGTGCTTAAAATCACAGCAGATTGTATTTAAATATGATTTATATAGTCCCTCCTGCATTCATTACCTAATATTCCTTTAATCCTTCAGTTTACAATCTTCTAAATGCCTTAATCTGGCCTATAAACTTTAATGACAAATATTAGAAAGTGTGTTTGTTGTAGTATCAGAAATAAGGTCTCTTAACTCTATCAGGAAAGACAGTTAATCACATGGATACTGAAGAAAGCATTTAAGAAGTAGTATAGAACTCCATGTGGGATTTAAGTGGTGAACTCCAAGGGCTTCCTTAAACATATGTATGTATGTGCATCCAAGTAGTCTTAGAAATGTTCTTATTGGTCCAAGTCTGCCAGTGACAAACCCTGGGCTTGAGGAAGTCGCTGTATGCACCCACTGATTTACTCATGCAGTTTCTCTTTGAGACTGTAAGAAGGTTTACAGTTGGTGTCTATTCTTACAGCATTTTATGGTGTGTCCACTTTCTCTAAAAAAATAGGTCATGTCCCACAAGCCAACAGCAGAGGTGGACTTTCAGTCTTCACCAGTCTTGCCCAGAGAGTGGTGATCTCAGACACTGGCAAAAATCTTGGCTGGTTTTGGAGTCTACCACCAACTGTTTCTGCTACGAATGTCTTTTAACAAGGAGGTGGAGAGTCACAGTTTACCTGAAAGTGTTATAATAAAAAGGGTCTGAAATAAAAGTGGGGTAGGAACGCTTACACCATTCCGAGGCGCTAGGCTTTATGGTACAGAGCCTTCTGTTATTGTGTGCCTGTGCTGTCAGTGGAGAGTTTCACAGGCCTGGGAGACTGGCTGGAGCTGTACATTTAGTGTTGATGTGATCACCAGCTGCAGGACTGTCATTAGGAATAGTGATTCCAAGCCCAGAGACACAGCAGTTCACCTTCTAGATCTCAAATTAAGCTCATTGAATTAACAATTCAGAGCAAGACAAAATGTCAAAAATTAGTTAAGCTGAATCTAGTCAATTAAATGCTGTATTTCTCCTTGGTTTTTCCAAGGCTTGTTCAGATTTGGTCCCAAAAAACTGGCTTATATTTTGTGTCACCACAGCTTTGGTTATCCTTCCCTTTTCTATCTGGCTTCACTGAACTTGTACAGTTCTCTTATCACACCCAATTCATGGACTTTCATTTTCTGTTAGCATATAAATATCTCAAGCACCCGAAGAAGAGGTAAAAATAGCATTTTACTAAGAGTTAGAATTGCCTTCAGTGGCCACATATCACAGCATATCTTGCAGGATAAGCTGCCATAACTATGAGTATGAATCTTGACAGCAAATCTGATAATATGTAAATAATAAAAGGGAAGATTATGTGAGGCAAATGTTAAGCATCAGCACAGATTATCCAAATACACCAATGATTTCAAGGGCTGTATGCTACATTTATTAATATTGCTATGAATAGTAGCAACATTTACCATGTGAAATGCCTGGTTCCAAACAAACATATGAAAGACTTTTTTTTCCTTTTGCCCTGAAGAGCTTACAGGCTATTTCAGGCACATGTAGTGCTTGGGTTTACAATACCAAAAAAAAAGGGGTTGTAATGAAATCTGGAAGGACAGACTGGCTTTCAGATTTGAGTGCATGTTCAGTGGAGAATTGAAACAGGAAAGAGGTATTTGTTTAGGAATAGAAACCTCAGGAAAAAACCTCTGGAAATATCAGAAGGGGTAGGACCAGGCAAGTAGCTTCGTGTTCTAAAAATTCTTAAGTCCCTTGCCCTACCCGTCATGTAATCTCAGTGGTCATCAAGTGAGTGCAGAAACCATCCACAAATTTTTTGAAACAAAAGCCCACTGGAAAGATTTTCTAAACTGGAATTCCATGTTTGATATTTCATCCCATGAAAGTGGTATAACTTTCATAAATTCTCTGCAGCTCTCTATGGTTGCAGCTAGGCTTGAGGGGTGCTTATCACTTTTAGAAAATTGATCTTTTATGTAAATAGTAAAACAGGCTTCATGAGCAGGATTGGAAGGCTCTCCAAAAGCATCCAGCACATGCCTAATGAAAGCCAGGCAGGTTTGTATTCCCACTGGAGTTAATTGCTTCTTAAGGTGTCATGCTAGAAGCATAACTTCACAAACCTTTTCAGAAAATCAAACAACCTTCCAAAAAGTGCCTGCATTTCCATCAGTGCCACTACACAGAAGTAAAATATCTGTCAAATAAGATTATTTGGTGGCTGTGCATTAGAGAGAATGTGCATTAGAGAGAATGCCAAATGCTAGTAAAATGTGTTAGTTACAAAGACGAGATCTGAGAGGAATGGAGATGTGAACATTTGTTTCAAATTTTCTTATCAATTATATAAAAAGCAGAGTGAAACACAGCAAAAGAACCTAACAAACCAAGAGGGTACAGATCATTATGTTTCTTAGATGATAGCCTTTTAATGTGGAATGAAGTCATGTTATTAACCCCAAATAATGTTCTGAAAGGCTATCCTAGCAGAATGTACATCAGCTGTTAGATTACTTCATTCCTCCACAGCAGTTGTTCATCTGAAAATAGCTTTCAAATGAAAAGAGGCAACTACAAAAGGATTAGTTACCATAGGCAGCATGATACTCCCACAAGATTATTTATGGCAAAACACCCAGAGACAAAGCTGCAAGAGAGTTAAACTCTGTGATTAAAAAAAAAAATGTATTAGGGAGGGCTAGAGGACATTGCATATGCAGTAAGCTGGGTTCAGTGCTATACCATTTCTGTGTATTTCATCCATAATGGCTGATGCTTGCTCTTTCCTCTCTTTGGCCAGGGCAGAATCTGATAACATTGTGATTTTCTGATACGACTTTTCCTTGCTGCAAAAAAAACAACACATTTTTATTGTTGAGCCAGCGCACACAGTTTGGCCAGCTTTCATTTCCAATAGCCTGTTTAGAATGGCTGAGCAGTGAAGTCAGGGGTTTCTGCCTGAGAAATACTGCACTGCAAAATGCACTGGCAGTTCTTGCTTACAGACAGATGTTAGGACATGTTTTGATGGATAGAAGATTCATAGGAATGGACTTTGAGTTGGTTACATAAATTCTTCAGCAAACATCAGTGTCAGTGGTATAGGCCTTCTCACATCTACTTGCTATACCTCAAGATGTAAATTCCTAACTAATTTTAATTTACATCTTGGTTTATGTTTGAAGAAATGTTACATTTTGAAATTTCTTAATCTAATAAAGAATCTGAGGAATGAAACTAGTTCTTCTGGCATCTTTAAAGAAGGTGCATTTCTGACTAAGTAAAAATATAAACATCTGTTAAGTTGCAGAGTCAAGAGGTTACATAAATGTCTTGTATATGACAGTTTGTAGGACAGACAATGTCAAAACATTTCAGGAAACAATACACTTACCCTACTGTTTTGTTGTGCAGATAAAAAGCGATGTCAACCCTTTAGCTGAGGCTTCAGAAGTTAGTTATGCATGGGGATGACCTGCCTGGTCCTGGATGGTTTGTACCCTTGTGCTGGGATCTGCATGGTACCTAGAACTGAGACAAACTGGGGGGCTGATCCTCTCCAAAGGGGTTGGCATCCAGCTGACATCAACCAGTTATATATAGAACCAAACACTCCAGCCACTCATATCTTCCTGGCAAAAGAGGAGAACAGAAAAGATTCGACTGCACCCACAACAAAGAGAGGTTATGTCCCTTTTAGAGCTTATTGAAAATTTGGTGGAATGCCCCCCCTGATGTACAGATCATTTCCTCAACTTCTCATCACCCCAGAGAATTATAATCTGCGTGTTATAATCAGGAAGGAGACATTTAAAAAGAAGGTGTTAAGTGTATAGATAGGCAAGACTATAGCAGATGAGAATGGCATGGGCTAATCCTTCAGTGAAAGATGAAACCCTGCTCCTGTAGGGGCTGATGGCTAAAGTCAGTGGCAGATGGCTGATATACAGAGGCTGCTCTGCAAAAGAAATGAGATTTTCTTCAGCCTGATACGTGCTAGGCAGTAATTGCTCAACAAGCACACGTCTCTCAAACTGTTTTTCAAAATCCCTTCACTTTCTTTGAGCACTGGGGACAAAAAGCCTTCAGCAATTTGAAGCTCACTAATATCCAGCATTCCAGGATAGTGTTGTATCAGTTTATCAAAGAAATGTGTGATTTGTAGTGCACAGATATTTCCAGACAGCAACCAACTTTGGACAGAATTAAACAGCGGCAGAAGAGAATATTCCTCCTTTGCCCTCCTGTCTGAATGCAGATAGATGAATTTTGGGGTAGCAAAACCAAGGTGAAGTTCTTCTGTTTCTGATTTGGATTTGAGTTTGTTCTAGGAAGTTCCTTTTTATAATGGAAAATTATGATCTAATTTGGCTTGGAGGATTGATCAGAAAATTGCACGTATTCTGACTTTAAAGGGAATCTGGAGAGTAATAAAATAAACCAACACAACCTGCAGACCTTTTCCAGCAAGAAGCACTTTGAGGTAGATAATATTTATGTGCCTGATCCAATGTCCTGAAAATCTGCCTGTCCAACTGAAAAACTGCATTGTTTTTCCCTCAATCTTTCTATTCCCTTTGCTTAGCTTTGCAAAACATATTTCTGAGATCCTGGCCATCTCTGCCCAAAAGAAATGTTCATTTTAATCCTCACCATCAGAACTGACCTGCTGTTATGGCTGATTGGTAATTTTTTTCAAGCTTTTGTGCCTGGATCAGACACTTTTAACAGTACTAACAACCATGGTCAACCAAGTCTTGGTTGAATCTTACCTATTCAACTAACAACTTTGAGTAGTCTCAGTGGTTCATTACCAGCCTGCCAAATGACACTGAAGGGCAGAAATTTAATGTTAAACTAGCCTGATGAATTGGAGGGGGGGGGGGGGGGGGTGAGGTGAGGGGGTGGAAATCAAATGCAATTCAGTAAAGCCATATCCAAAAGCAATTATAAAGTGGGCATTCATCTGATTGGCACTGACTTAAATGCTTAATCCAGGAGGAAATATCAAGAGACATCCCAAATAGGATAGTCTCGTGTTTAGTCTATTCCAATTCCCATTAACCAATTATTTAATACAATAAAAAGTACATAAATGTTATTGTTTTGAAGCTGAGCATTAAAAAAAACTTTGTAGCGTGACTATCCTAGAATTTAATTCACTACTTAGTAGTGTGTGAAAATTTTGAAGTAGAAAGTAGAAATAAGCATGTCATTGCAGCTGAAATAAAGAATGTGTATCTGTCATGACTGCAAAACTAGAACTGATCCTGTTCAATGCTGCTGTCTTTTATAATGCTCAAAGAGGGTCAGGACACCATAAAATACACCAAGTTACTGAAACATCTTTCATATAGAATTGTGACTAGTAAAATGTCCATAATTATTAGTAAAAGCTAAGGAAGGTGAAAGAATTACAGTGCCATAAGGTGAAAGATTTACAGTGCCATGTGACATCATCTTAAAAATTGAACCCTGCATGTCGATGAGAAGAACTATTTTATTAGTGGCAAACTAGGATGTTTAGTCAGCCTGGTAACAGAGGCAATATTTTCCTGTCTTCTTCATTTAGGGCATTTTTATTTAACCAAGTAAGACTTGGTTGAATTGCTTTTATGTGACTAAAAGACTTTTCCTTTGGGTCTGGTCTTTTCTGACACTTTGTGGGTTCTTTCCCACCACACTGCTTCCTCTAAATTGCATAATTGACCAGAAAGGACACCTGGGCTGGCAAGTGGAAAAAGCCTGAACTATCTCTCCCTCATTTTCTCTCCTTTTCCATCTTTTGCCTCTTCTCTCATCTCCACAGAGACAATTTAAATGTTGAATAAAGCCCCAGTTCTTAACAGGTACTTAAATTCAACCTGAGGCTGTGACTGCCACTTCATGCCATGAATTTAAAGCAATGAACTACTCAGGCTGTTCATGTATCTGTAGTGTATAATTCACAATATGAGCAATATCTGTTTGTAAAAAGGGGGCTATAATTACTAGACAATGGCAAAGTTGCTGTTCCATTAATGATGAGGCTGATGTTTCTGTATTCTGTGTCCATCTGTGCTTCAGACAGCGATTTACAGGTCTACCTTATTGTAAAATACCTGGTTGGAGCCAGGTAGGCATAAAGTCCCAACTATTGCTTTTAAAAATTAAACTAGTCCTTTTTTTTGGAGATAAACTGCCAACAGTTGCTTTTTTCAAGTGAAACTGGCCCCCATAGATCTAAGTGTACTTGTAATCTTCTTTTTACTTAAATTCTGAACCTAGGCCTCCTACATGTGTTGCAAATGAGACCGAGTGCTCTGTTGTCATAAATTTTCATGAAATACATCTTGCAGTCTGACTGAGGCAGTACAGGGTTCCCTATTTCCACTTCTAAATTCAAAAATATTGGAGTCAAAAAAAGGCCCATTATAGAGTTATCTGGAATATCCTTCTTTGCCTATGAAAATTGTGGGAAAAGCCTTTTGTAAAAAATAAGTCCAGTTTGATTTTTTGCTTAGGGATTTTTTTTCAGGTGAAGAATGAAGTATTTTAATTTCAATTACATGCTTCATTGATACTTTTTCTGTAGCTACATTGAGCAGACTAACAAAAGATCTGAGGTATTAATGTATTCAATAAGATATAATCAATAATTTGATAGGCTTTTAAAAATATTGTTACTGTTGTCTTTCTGTTCAGGATCCAGACAATATAATTTTTTATCTGGAATTCATAGGAAGACATTCTATGATTCAGTAATCTCATTATCCTCAAGTTTTTTTAAAACAAATGGGAAGGTTTATTTTGTAGAATTTACATTTGCCACATCGGGCTCAGTAACAATTCACATAAAACCCTGAGAAAAAAGTCCCCTTGTTTCACCTGCATTGTCTGTAACAGAAGAAGGCTTAAAGGAGGATGACAGATTAATATTGCCCTTGCTCACAGGCTGTCAGGCTGGTTTAATTATCTTAGCTGTTAAATAATACTTCTCACTGAAATTCATGGTTCAATAGGTACAACTCATTGGAGACTCTGCTCTGTGTTTGACTGAAGTTAAATAATCCGTTAAAAAATAGGAGAATTTCTTCAGTGGCATTTTTTCCATGCTGTGGGATCTTGCTGCATTTAGTACAGACACATGAGAAATACATTTTCTGTGCAGAGGTGGGGATGGAGCTTCATTTTTGGAGGCAAAAATCCTGTGCCTCTACTCTCCCTGAAAGTGGGAAACCTGCCCCAGCAGCCTGGGGCTGGGCTGTAATCCAGCCTACAAGGACAGCAGATATGGGGGGACTCCTCAAGGTTCGTCACTTCCAGTTGTCTGCACTTTCATGCTTCATTCCCAGTTGAAATAGGACTTTAAGAAAACATAAAGCCGACAGCCTGATTTAATCCCCAGGGCTCAGGCCACAAGCAGCAGCCTGTGCTGTCAAAGACTTAATCAGAGCCAGCAGCTGGCCAGGGAGCTTTATTTCAGTATGTGCATGTTCTGATGGTCACTGATTGAAAACTCCTTCATTTCTGTGGGTGGTCCACCTCACTGTGAGCCTGACATACTCTTTGGGGTTGTTTTATTCTTCCATCAAAAGGATACAAGTCTTCTCCCTGCTTGCATCAACATTGCAGTCTGACGTTGTGTCACCAGCATGGAGAGTGTTTGAGTAAGGGACTCTTAAAAAGATCCTTTCTTCTTAAATACTGCAGGGCATGCACATCTTTCTGGCAGGTTCATGTTTGTTTAGAGATAAACCTTTCTCATACTGCATTCAATTCCAAATTCTGTCTCCATACCTAAACAATCTATTTAGATGCCTTCACCACAGGATTTGG